TTCAATGAAGCAAGATGATGAACTGATTATATGTACACTGCTGTACAACAGTTACTTTCAATTTGATGTTTCTTGCTTAGTTTACTGTCATACTTTTGCAAGGTTGTAGTTTAGTTTCTTTTCTTAGTTTATTAATTATGAGATAACGAGTTTGAAGAATAAATAATAGCTATTTAGTATATACATGCATATACACGAATATATACACACTAGAAATAACAGCAAAATAGTACAAAGAAAATGAGAATCAAACAATGGTGAGAATCACGGGAATGAACAACAAAAGTTATGTAGTATGGAAGCAAAATGAATTTAAACAAGTGTTCTTTTTTTATTTATTTAATTGAAAAATGTTTTAATAAAAAAATTTGTTAATGAAGTTTTCTTTAATAAATATATATTACTTTTTTTGTCACTAAAATTTATCTTTGATTTTAAGAAAATATATATATTTTTATCATATGCTAATTTTTTAAAGTTTCAGACAACTACGTTAAACTATTTTCTATTAATTATATTATTAACTTAAAATAAAATAATAATCAATTAAAATAGAGAGCTAAAAGAATATCATAAAAAACTATGCAGTAAATTTAATAAAAATGAGAACATTAAATTATTATTAAATTTCTGTGTCAAAACTATAAAATAACAAATACGAAGGAATAAAAGAATATCTTTTGATTAAAAGGGACAAAACTGATAGGCATTATGCTCTCCTCCTATACAGAGAAAAGACCCCAAATGAATTAGTGAATTTTGCCTTAGTTATCAAAACAAAGATGAGTTAGGTAATGATTGGGAGGAGATTTTAGAGAAGAAGGGAAGAATGGACATATTTTTTAATTTTAAATTAAAAAAATTATATATTATTTATGATGATAAATATATTAAATTTTTGTTAATATATTAATTTATATCTTTTATTTTTAAAATATTAATTTTAAATATATTTATTTAAATTATAAATTTATGTCATTTCTTCCCTTCTTTCTAAAATCTTTATTTTCAAACAATCTCTTAGAGTTGCCTATGAGAATAAGTGAGTGAGAGGTTGTATTCATATTCTTTAACCTATAATGGAGATTTAAAGATTAAAAAAAAAATAAAAAAATCAATCACTTTTGTCACATAATGAGAAGAAGAAAGAAACTTAATCTCATACAAATTTAAAGTAGTTTTGATAAATTTAAATTTTTAAAGTCATTCATCTTAGATCAAACTGAAAATTTAACAACATTTTCACGACGAATGATTTTTTGTTGAATGTTTAGATATTGAAACAAGATCGATGGTACGATTAATAGTTTCACATAGTAGCTATATTTTTTTATCATTCATGATCTTTGTTGAAATTAATTGACTGGTCATATTTTGTGCACTTATTTTTAACTCCTTTCATATTAAGAGTTGTACATGTTAAGCAACTTTGTGCTTTCTTTCTATCTTTTTATTTTTAGTTGATATAATATTTATTGTTACTCTTCAGAGATCATTGCAAATTAAGGAATTTAAATTCATTGTGTTATTAAAAAAACAAAAAATAATATTTTATTACAAATGATAAAAAAAACAAAGATAAATAATTTAAATTCCATGTATGCTTCACATAATCAGATAAGTAAAATTCTTATAGTAAAATAAAGTCATGAAATTTAAATGTTCAAATTGACGCTAATTTAATTAACATGGTTAAATTTTTTAATATTATTTTCCTTTTAATTAACATGGTTTTATTATGATGATAATTATAAATGAAACGACTCTCATAATATAAAAAACAAAATTACATTTTAAAATTAAAAATCAAGGTGGAAATCAGCTATGATTGTTGTCACTAAAAATAAAGAAATCACCTATTAGTAAAAAGTTAGGGGATGAGATTTAATTTAAAAAAAAACATTTTGAAAGGTTGGCTTCAGTATTTTCCTTTTCTTGAAAAAACTAGTTACACTTCATTATTATTTTCTAGGTTATATGTGTGTGTGCAACAAGTTAAGTACACTTGTCTGCTGAATATATTAATTAAAATGAATGTGTATACATGATATGTTATGGTTTTCAGGCTAATTAATTTACATATTTGAAATCTGTGCCCTTAGAAAAGATATTTTATTCATGACCTTTAAATTGACCTATGTTTTCATTAATTAGGTTGTTGAATCATCTACACCTCCTGTGATTATTACTTAAGCAGCAAAATTTCCATTATTTGGCTGACCTCCTCACGTTTGTTAAATTCTAATCAGCAAGCTAGGTTCACGATCACATGATTCAATAAATATTCATCCACTACTTTTCTTTCCTTGTTTTCATATTAAATGGCTGATCCATTTGATTAATGTAATTAAACTATATAGTCCTAATTAGTTTTCTCTTTCCGTAAAAGAAGATATCATCCAAGTTCATACTTAAATAAGTTATGAAAATGAAAATAAAAATAAGGAAAATTTTGAACTGTTTTTCACGTGGAAGAGAGAAAATCAAAGAACAAAAGATGCTGAAATTGGAAACTTCTATTTCTAATTTTACAATTTCTTAAAAGCTTGAGTAAACTAAAACAAATGTTCCGTATTTCCATTTCAATTTGCAATGAAGAAATGATTTGCCATATAAAACATAGTGATATAAAGATGTATATGTTTATATAGTAGAACCACTCCTTTTCATTGAAGGTGACAATCTCTAATTGAATTGTTAATGGAGAATAATTAGTTTCCTGCTTCGTACTACTTCAACTACTTATTTATGAGGCCCTCTTTTTTCTGATGTTGAAGGAGAAGGACAAAAGGGATAAAAACAAAACTTGGGTGTCATGGATTCAATTGCCCACTCTATACAATAGAGAATATCGACATCATGAAAAGGTCAATATCTCAAGAATATTATGTGTTGTGTTTTGGACCATTATGTTTGCAGTTTTTCTTTCACCGTTTTTTTTCTTTTTACTTCTGTTTATACATTATTATCCCATAAAATGTTCTTGCTGGCCAAGATTGCAATTTGGAATTTTCAAATTGCCACATAATTTTTTTATTTTAGTGTCTTATCTTGTCATCTATTTGTCTTCGTTATTTTTTGGCTAATTGAGCCAAATTGGTCTCCGTTCAATGGTTTGTTTATCTTTTTGGTTCCACTTGTTCATCTCTGTGTTAGCAAAACATAAACGATTTATCCTTTTCCTTTCATTGTATTTGCTTTATGTAAAATGGCATGTATCTGTACATTTTTTAATCTAAATTAAGTTGGGTGGTTTTTCGACTAATGTACTTTTCAAACAAGAATAAAAAATTCATGTTTACAAAAAAATCTTCATAAACAACTTATTACGTACCCATTGACTTACCTTGATTTTTATTTGTTGAAATTTAGACAAAAATTGATAATAAATTATTAAAATTACTCTAATGTAAAATATAAAGTATGACAATCGTGGGGCATTGAATACTCTGCTTATTTAAATGTTTATTTAATAATATTTTTTTAATGGTGACTTATGATATAAATTTAATAATAAAATTTATTAAAAAAAATGAAAATAACTTATTTTGATATATTATAAAAAGATTATAAAAATAAATTAGAACAATCAGTGAGAGTCTTGTAATATTTTTTTTTTATATGTTGTTAATATAGATTAAAGTATCTTATATATCAATTTATCTATTTTAAATTTAGGATATATCAATCTTTATTTTCTCACTTTCGTACATCATTTTAAAGAGAATGTGTAATCATATAATTCTAATAATCTAATTAAGTAGAATTTCTTAGACTTTCACATGTTGAATAATATGTTATAATTATGATTAAAATATATATCTTTTATTAAATATAATTAATAAATTCTACAATTAACTACGACAGATCCTTACTTGTTAAAATATGTATCTTCATCTGTCCAACACGACCATATTGTTACTCATTAAACAATAAAGAATCTAAATTCGAATTATTAAATCCTACTAATAAACACGTTAAAGACATTACTTAAGAAAGTAATGAATTGAAAGTTTTTATTAAAAATCATGATAGATATGCATCAGAAATCTTATTAAGTGTATATCGTTGACACTATTCATAAAAGAAAATTTTTAACTCTTTAACTTATGTCCTAAAAATACTTCTTAATATTTTCTTCCAATATTTTAAGACATTTGAACATTTATGTCGAAAAAAACATATAAGACATTCAAATATTACCATCAACAATAACAAAGTTATTTGGGAGGATACAAATATTATTATTATATAATTATTATTAGGAAAATGCAAACAAGAAAGATATGGTTAAAAACATTATAAGATTAAAAAAAGGAGAAAGAAATGAACTTTTTGGGGAACAATGATGTCGAGTCAAAAGCTTACTATATAAATTTATTATATATATATTGGTTAAATCGCGAGAAATCAGATGATCCCTGAAGCTGATTCCACTCCCTAACAACACCTTTACGTATCCACAAACCTGGTCAATTCTCGCACATTCTCTCTCTGCATTCTCTGCTAGAAAGAAGGTGGTAAAGGTAACTGCATTCTAGTACACAAAACAATTGCTTGCTATTCTCTAGTCTCGATGTTTCTCATTCTTTCATTTATGTTTGCGAGAAATAAAGTTTTTGTTTTCTTGTTAAGAAATAAATACAATTAAGCCCTCCATGTATGGTCATGTAGCTACCTATAGCAGGCCTGCATTATATTAACCTTATATTGTTATAGGATAATGTAATGATATGAATATTTTATCTGACATAAAGGTTTATATGTTGTGATAGCAGTTCCTTGTGTGGCATGCCGGCAGAGAGACAAAGATCTCTTGTGGGTTTTTCCATACTAGCTGCTTTCTACGTTTTATATAATATTTTGAATCATAGTAAGAAGATATAGCTAACAAAAGGGGTTGTTTGTGTTGTGCCTCAAAAGAAGAGTACTCGTTTGTGTTGAGAGGGTGTTGGTGTTTATTGTAGCAAAGGGAACAAGAACAAACCAAGAAAAAAGGAATGGAAGCCAAAGGTGGAGAAGTTAGAAGACTTCACATCGTTTACTTTCTTAGTCACATAGGTGGTCATGCAGATCACCCTCATCTAATTCGTGTTCTTCATCTAGCTCGAAATGGGGTTTATCTAAGAGGTGAGTTTTTTTTTATTCTTTTAGTCTAGCCTCCTTTGCATCTGGCTTTGACTATAGTACCTCTTGGTTCTTTCTGCGGTTTTCTTCTGTCCATAATGTTATTCATAAAAGTGTTATGATTAATATGTGACTCTTAAAAGAGTCTAATGATACTGTTTTTTATCTGTTAAAAGATGTTAAGAGATGGCTTGGCGAATTGAGAGGAAGAGACTTACCTGAAGCTTTTGCTTGGTCCTACAAGAGGTTGAATCATACCCTCCTAATTCTTGCTTTGGTCCATTTCTCTACCTCATTTTTTTTAACCTTTAACTGTATGTGTGTGTCTATAATCAATTTGTAACTGACAATTATTGAATGGCAGGAGGTACAAGACTGGATATGTGTGGCAAGACTTGTTGGATGACGACCTCATAACCCCCATTTCTGACAATGAATACGTCCTTAAAGGATCACAAATCCACCCTACCCCATATGGTATGTACTTAGAGATAATCACTATTCCCAGTTTTATTTTTCACATTAATATTTGAGCATGGCCACCCATAATTGCCATCCATGGACATTTCCAAATTATGTACACTTTTTCTAAAAATGTTTAAAGACTAATTAAGTTGCACAATTTGGTTAATGTAGAAACACGTTCACTTAATGAAAAGAAAAGTGCTAGTGACATCCATGCTGAGAAGAAATGTCCTCGAGTACAAGTTGTTGAGGACAAACAACAGCATCAGAAGCAACCATCGCTAGCAGAAGAACCTCATATTCAACTAGACCCAGATTCAAAAACGGATACTCCAACAAAAGGGTCATCAGAAATCAGCCAGGATTCATTGGTTTTCAGCTCAGACAGGTCATCTATGACTGATGATGATTCATCAAAGGTTGAAGAAGAGAAGCTTTTGGAGACGACAGGCAAAGAGGGTTTCAATGAACAGAACCGAGAGAAGCTAGAGACTTGTTCATTGCCTTCCTTGTATCACAATCAAATGACTAAGAAGGGTGAAAACAGAGATGACAAGAATAAAACTCACTCTCCTGATTCATCCCTTTCTACTATGTCATCACCATCATTCCAATCCTCCTTTACTAAGATCAGAAGCAATTCTACTAGAGTTTCTAGTGTGTTCCGCAATTTGATTACTTGTGGCATTGTGGAAACAAATGATGCAGCCTTGGTACGGATGAACCAGGATCAAAAGATATTCTCCAAGGAGCCTAACAACAACACACCTGGAAGAAAAGCTGAGATTTGTAAAGGAGACAAATTGGGAGGATCAGCCAGGTGCTTTGGAACTTCTTGGAATCATCATCACCACAAACAATATGGGGCCAGGTAAGGAGTTGAATTAAATTGAGCTTTGAATATTCTAAATAACGATCCTTTTCAGTAAACAGTTCTGTAAACTGAGCTTAAATATCTAAAGATAGTTTTGTTATTATTATTAAATACACTTTCATATTTTTAAGGCGATAAATATTTTTTTTCAATAAAAAATTATCATTTTGAGTTACTTATGCTTAGCCTAAGTGTTGAGATTAAATTTTCTTTGACAATACTTGTGTTAATCTTAATCTTTAATGTTTGAATTTAAGCACCTAGAGATAGTTTTTTTTTTTTAATTTTTTTATTATTATTACTAAAAATATAGCATTTATTACATTTTTATATTTTCAAAATGATAAATAATTTATTTAAAAAAAATTATTACTTTTAGTTACATAACTTTGAGCATTTGCTTGGATGGTTTAAAGTGTTTTTTTTTTTTTTTCATGTTTTTCTTTTGCAGAAAGAGCTTCGATGGAGAGGAAACAAGCAGGAGCAGGAAGTTAGGAGAGCTCATGAATCAAACTACTTACAAACCATTTGGTGGACCAACTTGCTCGTAAGTGACTGAACATGTATGTCACCTGAGTATAATTTCAATTGTTAGCATTTCAACATTGTAATGAGAGGACATATGTAATCATGATCATATTGGTGGATGATGTTTTAGCACACATGTTGAAGATCAATATAGTATAGTATTAGGATTTATCAGTGCCTTATTGATACTAAGCTGAATGGAGGTGCATGAAGACCCCGGAGGCTGCAGTTGAGTCGAAGTGAAGATTCACCTTATTGAATTATTAGTCAAATTTAAGAATTTTGTTTTTCTTGTAATAAAAAATATAAAATATAAAAAGTTGACATTGATTAACAGATTGTTATGCTTACCAACTTTTGGCTGCAGGGTCTAGTGGTTAAATTTTAAGAGTAATTAGAATTGCATGAACTACTTTATATGCCATATGCTTGAGACGCTTTCAATTTCATATCTTTATTGTGATGATGAATGATAAGACCATAAATAGGGCTCCATGGTGCAGGCTATGTGGGAAGTCGTTTAAGCCTGAGAACATGTACAAACACATGAAGTCTTGTAAAGGAATGAAAGCCTTGGGAATATCAACTACAAGTGATGAGGTGACGCAACTTCAGAGAGCATCAACATCGTCCCATACAGAATATCTTTTGACCAACTGAATATGAATTCCTTTAGGTGAATTGCTTGCAGAGTTTTGATGTGGCTGAGAACTTGGTCTGTGTCCTTGTAAAGACTGGATCTCAATTATAGTTTCTTGCTTTTTCTAATCACACTTTGTCATGATTCCTCATTGTCTTCAAGCTCAAAACATTAAGAGCTGAAGGTTACCACAACATTCTGCAAAGCAGAAGATAGTACTAGCCTGATAGGGGTGGTCAACTTTTTGCCAAATAAAGACTACAAAGCAAGAATCAACAATTTAGCCAATGAATGCCATTGCAATTGTTCACACAATAGTCACAACTCCACCTTAATGAAGAATGCAAGATTGTTGAACCATGAGATCTCCAAGGTTAGCTAAACATTGATTGGAGGCAAACAACCAAACGGTTAATCCAAAATGAATTTCAACATAAATTTACATTCAACAATAACATCTACATATTGACAGAATACAGCTCAAAATTGTATAATCTTGGGCATAACTTGGTTCAGTGACAATGTTAGTTAAGTTAAAGTATACAATAAGAGGTAAGATCTTTACGTGGTTATACCAAGACAAAAATGAGCTATTTAAATAACTATTCACTGTAACATCACTGTCAGCTGTTCACTGCAGAGTCAGGATAATATACTCCATCAATTCTGTTAGTTCTGGTAGTTCTAAATTTACTAATTAGCGATGGCAGAATTAACATGCTCAAGCAGAAACCGGTACAAACGTTTTCTTAGGTTCTCCACCCTGTGATCAACCTTATCTCCACCAACCAAACTATCTAACCAGCGGTTCACCTGTTTGAGCTGTCCAAGAAGACATGCAATTTCAGTGCTCCCTTCATTTTTCAACCCAAATTCATTACCTAAAGATTCCTCCAAGTACTTCAGGAACCATTCCCGAGATGCTACAAGCAGTTTTTCTGCCAAACTTGCAGCTACTTTTAATTCATTTTCTTTTAATTGATCCTGCCTGTCAGTATCCTTGTTGGTTGCCAAGAGACTCCGCTTTGAGGAAGGAAGCCTTTTAGCAGATGAATGTGGCAAGTGATTCACTTGAGGTACACGATTTTGCTTGCTTTGAGCAGAGGAATCAACAATGTATGTTTCCTTACAAGAATTCTCGACGACAACGTAATGATTTTTCTCAATGTTCAAAACCTCATCATTTGCTTGTGTTCCAAATAGATTGAATTTGGAAAGATTGGTCTCTATGGCAGCTTGTACCCAAGATATAGCATTCTTGCGAGTGGGAACTTTACATGCATCTTCCACTGAACTCTTAGAATGGCTGCTTGGTTTTGTTTCAGGAAGTGGTGCAAGTAAGGAATCAAATAGCACTGTTACTCTCTGCAAATTCAGGTGAAGCTCCAGGAACTGCTTCACAAGTGATCCAGCAGAATAAGTCTGACAAGACTGGCAAAGTTCTGCAAACATACTGAAACAGAATACTCATCTTGGTCAATGCAATTTCCACAAACATTACAGGAAGGAGTTCATATTGACCCCAAAGAGAAATAAAATAAATACAAAATTGCAAGTAGAAAACTGTCAAATATAATTTCAATTCCATATCCAGGTATCTACAGGTGACAATGAAGTGACGAAGTGATAGAATAGCCATAAAATTTTCTCTTCACATGAGAGACTCTTCCCTTGACCTATTTAATCATCACAAAGATTCATAATTTTGACTGCCTAGCAAAAAATTGTACAGTTGAAACAACATTCATGAGTTTCTATACATCTTAAAACTTAAAAGTATAATCGATAGCCCCCAAACTAAAAGAGGGGGGACACCAGGTGAAAAGGTTCATTATATTACATACACAATTGAAAAGCACTGTATTTCAACAAGCCAATAACACTGAACCACTCTTGTATTTCAATCATTTTAAATACTTTCTGTAAACAAACTGTTCAAGTTCATTATATTATTAACAGGTTTCCTTACCAAAATCAAAAGTGAAAAATGGTCATTAGAAAACATATCATTGAATGTTACTAATGCACATCCACTATGATTTTTAAGAAAAAATTTCTATTTATTGATTCAGAAAGATAAGAAAAAGAAATCAAAGCAGTAATGTATATATGCAAAATGTAAATATATACCACATGCATTGGATCACAGTATCTGTAGCAGATGCTTCTTCAAGAGATCGCACAGCCGCCAAAAAAGTAACATTTCTATGAGTTACAACTTGCTGGAAAAGGATTGACAACAAAATTCAAAATTTGGTAAGTGCTGATGGCATTTAAGTTTTGAATAATAGCCAAACACAAATGGAGTTCAATACCTTTCCAAGATTACACATGGGAGATGGGAGATCTTCCCAAGATGCAGAAGCATCACACCAAGTCTTGAAATTGAGGGGCACCTTAACAAGTTGGCTATGAACAGTGTCAAGACATGGAGACCTAGTACTAGTACCTTTTCTCGGAGGTGCGTGTGTCAATTTTGGACACAAGTTCTCGTTTTTACTTTTCAAAGGTGAGGCACTTGAAGTTGGAGATTTTTGGGGAGAATCAGCTTTAGCAGAAACCTTCTTGTCCATCACCTACAGCAAGCACCATCTACCCATAATAAGCTTCAAAAAAAGTTAACACACAAGGGGACACATAAAAATCAACCTTTTGTCTCACCAAACATCATTGTTTTAACTCAAGCATTTTCTCTACCCACATGCAGCAGCAGTACACTATCTAAAGGCCCTACCAACACGACACTGCAGAGAGATATGTCCTTAAACATTGACGAAACTCATTTACATAAATTCTTACCAAAAGCATTAACACTTAACAATTCAAAGCTTGAAAAAATAATGTTGACCTGGGGTCCAAACCAATATAAATAAAAGCGTTTCAAGAGCGCACAAAATAGGATAGGGCCCTCGTACAACATTAGCTATATCTGAAATAGTGATTTAAAAAACAATAGAAAAAAGAGCTGAAATTTAGCAGTGGGACAATCACACGTTACCTTAAACATAAACACGGGACATAAATTGGTAGTTACTAAATATGATAATGTGCTTCATTAATACTATTTCACAGAAATAATCGTACATTCTTATCAATTTTGAAAGAGTTTTAAAAAACAACTAATTCTTTTCACAAATACTCTATTTCCAAACAAAGACTAAAATTGCTAAAATTTGCGACTGTTAAAGAATAAAAATGATATTTTCACTACCGTCTTAAAAATGTGTCTCCTATCAAATTTTTCATAAAAAAAACACGGACATTAACTCAAAAAAGGAAAAACAAGAAGAAAACCCTCTTCCCTCACCTAAACCTCTCGAGTCTCGACAAATAAAACCACGCAAATTTAAAAAAAAAATCTCAACTTTAAAAATCGAGTTTAAACAATTAATAGTAAAAAATATTTATTCAAAACTATATTTACTACACTTATAATTACCAACGAAATAAATATAATATTTTATCAAAAGATCTTATTTGAAACTTAATCCTACTACGTTAACAAGAAAAAAAAGGGGTAGGAAAAAGGCAAAAGCAGTAGCTCAACAAAGAAAAAAAAAATGCTGAAAAGGGAACAGTAACAAACATTAGGTGAAGTGGGGTGAGATTTCTTGAGCTTGAGTTTATCAGATGCAGAAGTTGCAGAAGAAGTTTTAGCTTTAACAACGGGACTATGGTCCCAAACCCTTCTAGAAGAATCCAAGCTGAACCTCCTCGTCTCGAAAGTCATCTTCTTCTCATCTCTCTTCTTCAACTTAGGGGTAACATGAAGGGACTCGCTAGAGACCAAGTCAGTGGGGTTTCCAACGCAGGGTCTTCGTTTGGGGAGAGGGTTGAGGCCGCGAACCAGTGGAACGGGTGAGGCCGAGTCGAGGCGAGTCACGTAAACGAACTGGCCGAGTTGGAGCTTATCGGCGCAGATCATCTCGGCTTCGGCTTCGGAGACTGAGACGTAAGCAGAGTGCAAGGAGTCGGAGAGTTTAAGGAAGTAACCTCGGCTCTGCCACGGTTCGTCTGAAAGGCGTGGCACGATTTCGGTTACTTGGAGGAGGGCTTGGCGGTGTGGCGCCGTTACCTTGTTGCCCGCGTTTTCTAGAAGCTTCGAGAGCACGCCTGGGGTCAGTGACGCCATGGAAGTGCAATGAGAAGAAGAAGAAGAAGAAGAAGAAGAGAGAATGAGAATTTAGAGGGATTTTCTGCTACTCTGATGTTTTAAACGGACTTGTTTCTTTCAGGAGAGTTTATGTTTCTCGTTCGTTGCAAAAATAAAATGTGACAAAAAAAAATATGCATAATTAAAAATTATATACAAAATTTATAACCTATAATTAAAAACATAATTTTATAATTAGACAAAATAAGCATAATATTTTTATCATTTAATATATTTGAATTAACTATATAATAAACTTCTAAAAATTATAATTTAATCTGCTAACTATAAAATTATAAGTTTTTTATTATAGGTTATAAATTTTTAGTTAAAGTATCAGCTATAAATTTTTAGTTAATCATACTAAGTCATGTCTTAATTAGTCATATAATTATTAAGATTAAAAGTGTTAAATTTTAAAATAATTAAATATTAAAATAAAAAGTTGAAAGACTAAAATCAAAATTGTATTAAAAAATACACTCACAAAAAATATGTTTAAAACTTATTTAAAATGAAATTTCTAATCTTATTCCTATAAAAAAAATATTGAATTTGTATCTTCTACACTTAAAAACTTGTAGAAACTGTGTTTAATATTATAAATGTGGATATGCTAGTTTTCATGTGTTAAAAAAGAGGAATGTTGCATGCAGATTAATGCGTAAAACTTTTTTCTGATATCTTTTGTGTAGTTCAAATAAGAGAGAATGCCTTAAAAATATAAATTTTTTTGTCTCCTTATCTTTGTTATACATTGTCCACCCTAAACCTTTTAAAGAAATACAATATGAAGATAGAGAAAGGATTGGAATCTCAAAGTGACATGGGAGAAGGTGCAGCTATGGCATATGGATATGTCACTTTTTTGAGATATGAGAGAAAAGGGTGTGACTAGTAAATGGTGAAGAGTATAGACTCTATAGAGTAGAGTTCAGTTCCTTATTCCTATGATAGTCCTCACAAAGCTCTTTAAAGACACGATGAAGATCAACCTCTGCAATGAAAAGAGTATGATGATACCCAACTTCGATAACTAATGTTGTTACTTGTTGCGTGAACATGAGAATTCAATTATCACAAGCCTCCTGCTTCTTTTCTGGGCCCCGCTCTCAACTTTAACCATGCTTTTAAAAATACACATAAATATTAATATATTATATTTATTGAAATTATGTCTATTATTAATATATTTATTAAGTTTATTCTTATTTTTCTTTTCTTTTCATTTATCTGGGTAAGCATGGACAATTGAATAAAAAAAACGTATGGGTAAAGACTAAATGTCCATCCTGTGACTTACACTAATGCAAATCTCCTTGTGCTTTGGCATTTATACATGCATATATGATTTGTACATATGTACACCCATAAAAATAATATATATCATCTAATAATATAATTTATCATTTTATATTAAATTAAAATTTATTATCCTGAAAATATTTAAATCTCTTAGATGAGTCTACCTTCAAATTAACTTCTTTAATTCTGTATTCAAATTTAGTTCAATTAATTATGTATATTTTTTTTCTCTTAGTTGACACTTTTTAATTTAATTTAATTAATTACATGTATATTTTCTTTTGGCTATCTTTTTAAATATCTTTTTAACTTATTTTTTATTTATATTTTAAAATATTCACACAATACATAGGACACTTGCTAATTATAATATAAAGTTATGCTACATAAATTGCCTGTAAATTCTTTAAATATCCATTATAGATATTTTTGTAAGCCTGGTGATTTATTAGATATTTTAGAAGATAGAGAATGTTCTAGAATATTATTTTCATACACTTAGTTGTAGCTATACATTCTTACCAAAAGGTAGTGTAACTATAAATAAGAGAGCTTCTTAAGGCTAAAATAAAGAAAGAATTTTTATATTTATTATATATTTAAATAAAAAATATTTTTTTAAAAAAATCTATTGTCAATAACTTCAATCACTTTAATTAATTTTTTTTCATTTATAAAATTTTATTTTAAATTTAAAAAATAAAATTACTTTTAAACACAAAATCAACATTTAGATTTCAAAATTTGGCAAAATATTGTTTAAACAACAGCAACATGGTATCATATATTTTACAAATTATACACAATGCAAATCCTATATCTTATGATCAAGCATGATCAACTTAAACATGCTTGCCGAATTAACAATCACATGATCAATTCAGTGGTGCTTTTAAAAGTTTTTTAAAAAAATTAACTAAAGATGATATGATAATATTATAAGTTTTACATATTCACTAATGTAATTTATTGTTGGCAAGTAGAGTGAAAAAAAAAAAGAGAAAATAAAAATTGAAGACATGTAATATTTGTTAGAATATTATTCTTGATTTTAGTTTTACTTTTCTTAAAGATGTTGATATAAAAATAAATCATGAATTTATGTTTTAATATGTATTGTTTTTTTTTTACATGAAATATGTAAAATATGAAGTGCAAACTCTAAGTCATGACTTGAATTCAATTTAATAATATAATTTAGTGACATTTTATGATCAAGATTTTGAAAGATTTAAAGATAAAATTTTATCTTCGAAATCCACATCAAACAATAAAAATAAAGATTTAGGTTTTAAATTTGAGTTCAAAATTAATTTAAACTTCTTAAATCCATCTGATTAAGATAAAAAAAAATGAACTTTGTTCAAATTATGCACTATTTTTATAAGTTTAAATTGAATCTTATAATATTTTATTATTTTTAATATAGAATTTATAATATATAAATTTGTATTGTATATTTAAAAATACACATTAAAAAATTTGATAATAAATTGAGGTATACTATTATTTTTACAAAGAAAGCCTGTACTATTTAAATGAAGTCTAGCCTTTATCTAATATACAGATGCAATAATTATAATAAACAATTAGTTTTAAAAATTTGATAATTTTATTCATATACTCAATCTTGTCTTTCCTATTAGAGATATGAATAATTTAAATTATTTAACATTCATGTGACTTCGATCGTGATAAGATAAATACATCTATCAAAACAAAATATAGTCATGATTCATAAAAACGATCAATATAACTAAGCCAATAAAAATAACAATGGAAAAACTCAAAAGTTTAAGATTAAACTGAAATTAAAAATATTTTAGTTTCTACAAATGTGTTGTAAAAGCTCTATAATATGCTATAATGACTCGACTAAACGTTTTGTACTCAATAAGTAAGGCCTACTAATTAATGCGTATCACAAAAGCAATCCACTAACAATATATTAAGAGGATACTACGAATTTTCAAAATAAGCATAACCTATGAAATAAACTTTTTCGTGTCTCTTAATCTAAACCTTGTAGCATTTTATGGTGCTATCTGAGATTCTAATATTAATGATATTTGTACATCATTAGTTAAAATATCTTTTTAGTATAGCTACATATATAAGTTGGTCAATCCCTTATAAAGTCACAATTAAAGTGGTCAAATTATATAGACTTGCATTTAAACGAATTTACATTTAATAAGTTGTATAAACTTATAGTTATAGGACTTGCCAGTTGGGTTAAACTATTTTTCTTTTACTAATTTTCACTTATTAAGAGATTGTATAATGCACATATATTTTATTTGAAAATAAATATATATTTTGATAATTAAAGAATAAATTTTGATAACATTTTAAATAATTATATATAAAAAAAATTTAAAAATTAAGTAACAATTTATCTCCATAATTTAGAATAGAATTAAGAAAAAAAAAGTATATGAAAGTTAAATTAGTTGTACCAAAAAGAGTATAATTCACTTAATATTTTTAACAATTTTTTAAAAAATTATTTTAACTTTATAATTTATCTCTAAAATTTAAAATGAAAAAGAGTAATTATGTTCAATGCTTCACTTTCTAAATAATATTAGACCTGAATGCATTACCCGTAAACTTACAATTTATGTAGGTAACTTGCATAAATATGAACTTATATATGTCACACATTTTAGGCTCAAGCTCGTAAATGTACAAGTTTTTGTAGTGTAACCTGTTGACTTTTACTTTTTAGGATTAAATTTTATTTTTTAGACAATATAGTAATAAAATGTTAAGTTGTTTAATATTAAGCTAGAAATATAAGAGCTTGACAAATGTAGCTGTAGAATTAGTTTCATAAAATTATTCATAATTTCTTACATCAAATCCTATTTTTTTATTATAAAACAAAATATTTAAATTAGACTTGTATTTTATTTGAAACATGAATTTAATAATAAAAAATAAGATAAGAAAATTAATTTTATTTTTAAAAAATTAAAATATAACTTTTAGTTTATGTTTAAAATAATATAAAATAATATTTCTATTAAAAATAATTAATTTATAAATAATTTAGGAATTAATTATATTTTTATCCCTAACACACTTTTAAATAAGTTTCTTTTTAAAATTTATAATTTTATTTTAAAATGTAAAAGTTTAATATAATAAACTAGATAATGAAAATTTAACTCATTATTATCATATTTTAAAATAAGATAAAATAATATTTCTATTAAAAAATAATTAATTTATAAATAATTTAAGAATTAATTATACTTTTATTTCTAACACACTTTAAAATAAGTTTTTTAAAAAATTTAAAATTTTATTTTAAAATATAAAAATTTAATATAATAAACTAAATAATGAAAATTTAACTCATTATTATCATATTATTATTATTATTATTATTATTATTATTATTTAAAATTAATATTAAAAAAAAGTCCTAGAATCTACCAAACCACATTCCCTCCAAATCTGCAATGCTTAAGACCAAAGTAAGATCATTCAATGCTCCAAATCTCCAATTCTTGAACTCCAACAATGGACATCCTCTTCGCTCAGATCCAAGCCGACCTCCGCTCCAACGACGCTCTCCGTCAATCCGGAGCGCTCTTGCAGGCCCTCCAGCAGTCCGCTGCGGGCCGCGACATCGCCGTCATCGCCAAAACCGCCGTCGAAGAGATCGTCGCTGCACCGGCCTCCGCGGTCTGCAAGAAGCTCGCCTTCGACCTCATCCGATCAACGCGCCTCACCCCCGACCTCTGGGAAACCGTCTGCGCCGGCATCCGCAACGACTTTCACTTCCCCGACCCCGACGTCACTGCCGCCGCCGTCTCCATCCTCGCCGCCATCCCCTCTTACCGCCTTGCTAAACTCATCGCAGATTGCAACAAAGAGATCTCTAATTGCTTCGACTCCCCTAGCGACAACCTCCGCTTCTCCATCACTGAAACCCTCGGCTGCGTCCTTGCCCGCGATGACCTTGTAACGCTCTGCGAAAACAACGTTAACCTCCTCGACCGGGTTTCCGCATGGTGGGGCCGCATCGCCACCAACATGCTCGACCGTTCCGACGTGGTTTCGAAGGTGGCGTTCGATTCACTTGGCCGACTCTTCCAGGAGTTCAGTTCCAAGCGGATGAGCAAGTTGGCCGGCGATAAACTTGTCGACAGCGAAAATTCCCTTGCTATCCGCTCCAATTGGGTGTCCTCCATGGTAGATTTCGTCTGGAAGAAGCGCCGCGCCCTCATGGTGCGTTCCCTGATCTTCCCCGTGGAGAATTTCCGTGCCACCGTGTTTCCTGTGGTGTATGCCATCAAGGCGGTGGCCTCCGGCAGCGTGGAGGTCATTCGCAAGCTCTCCAAGTCTTCTTATGGTGCCAATCCGGGTGTTGAAGTTGACTCCCATGCGGAGAAGCTGGTGGGGGTTTCCGATGTGGTTGCTCACTTGGCACCGTTCTTGGTTTCAGCGTTGGAACCGGCATTGATTTATGAAGTGGGGATCAATATGCTGTATCTGGCTGATGTTCCTGGTGGGAAGCCTGAATGGGCGTCCCAATCCATTATTGCCATTCTCACTCTGTGGGATAGGCAGGAATTTGCTTCTGCCAGAGAGAGTATTGTTAGGGCAGTTGTTACCAATATCCATCTCCTTGATCTTCACATGCAGGTGATGATGATGATGCCTCTAGTGTTATTTTTTTTGCATCCATGAGTTAGAGATCAGGTTAATTGTTATCCTTAGATATAAGGTTATGTATTTCCTCTAGTTGGTTGAGGGCTTGTTGTTGTATGTGTAAAATGGTGATTTGTTAGCCTATGAATTAGGAAAAGTGTCAGGACTTTACCGGTCAAAGACATAGCCTTCTAATTTCTAGAATTTAGGTTAGTTGTTGTTTTGTGATCTAGTGCTTAAAATGTCTTATGTTTTGTATCTTGTGTGGTGTTGAATTATATAAATATAGAATTAGATGTTTGGCTGCAGATGAAGCTGCTGGTGCTTGATATGGCAATGCTTATCATGTATAAATGGCTGCTTGTAGGTGTCACTGTTCAAGAGGCTACTTTTGATGGTGAGAAACCTGAGAGCAGAATCGGATCGTATGCATGCTTTGGCGTGTATATGTAGAACAGCACTTTGTGTGCACCTATTTGCCAAGGAAAGCGTAAGAAGAGGGCAGAAACCTCTTGCCGGAACAGACATAGCTTCACTCTTTGAGGATGCCAGAGTGAATGATGATCTTAATAGCATTACAAGTAAAAGTATATTTAGGGAGGAGTTAGTTGCATCGCTGGTGGAAAGCTGCTTTCAGTTGTCCCTGCCTTTGCCTGAACAGAAAAATTCAGGCATGGAGAGCAGGGTCATTGGAGCTTTGGCATATGGAACTGGTTATGGTGCATTAAACTGGACTGAGCCTGCTTTGGAAGTGGTGGAGGTTTGTCGGCCATGTATTAAATGGGATTGTGATGGCCGCACTTATGCAATCGACTGCTACTTGAAATTGCTTGTTAGGCTGTGTTACATTTATGATACTCGGGGTGGAGTAAAAAGAGTCAAAGACGGAGCCTCTCAGGACCAAATTTTGAATGAGACTAGATTGCAAAACTTGCAACGTGAACTTGTGAAGGACTTACGCGAGGTACTTAAACTCGTATGCTATAAATTCTGCGACAAGGCCATCTAAAGATTTCTTATTCTGACAATTACATGTATGTGGTCTGTACCTTCCAAACAATATTTTTAGTAATTATTGAAATAATTTTTTAAGGGTAAATTAACGAGGAAAATCCTTCAACTTTACTCCACAGGTAATTTATCCCTCAGGCTTTTTCATTGTAGCTGTTTTTCCCTGAATTAAGACATCCATCATGAGACTGAAAATCAATAATGAAATTTGGTAGTTGATGGGGTGAGTTGTCGCTGTCATCAGTCAGTTACTCGCCTCCATGGTGTACTGAATTATTTTTTCCATGTTTTGCAGATATTTTAAGTCTTTTAGGACAATTTTTATTATAAAACCTATATTATGTGACTATATTGATACAACAAGAATGAATATTTTTACTTAGATGATGAAATTTATAGTGCGATGCCTTTTGAAAATATGATATATTTATCTCTAGCCCCTCTTACATTTGTTCTTTGCATTTGCACCCTTCTATTTTATGTATGTTGTTGGTATGAATCAATTCCTATGTGATTTGAGTTTCCTCAAACACTTGAAGATTGTTAGACTCATAAATATAATCACAAAAGGATAGATTTTCTCACACACTTGAATCCTGCATGTTAAATGTTTTTTATTGTAACAGGTCAATACACCAAGAATATTGGCCCGCCTTATTTGGGCTATTGCAGAGCACATTGATATAGAAGGATTGGACCCACTCCTAGCAGACGACCCAGATGATCCTCTTAATGTCATTATATCAAATATTCACAAGGTTCTTTTTAATGTTGATTCAACTGCAGAAACAACTAATAGAGTTCAAGATGTACAGGCAGTTCTTATATCTGCCCAACGGCTGGCATCACGCCACCCTAGGGCTGGGCAGATACTTACCAAAGAGCTTGAAGAGTTTAGGAACAATCCTTCAGCTGATTCTGTCAGCAAGCATCAATGCCGATTGATATTGCAGAGAATCAAATATGCATCAAGTCATCAAGACAGCAAGTGCGAATATTGTGCCATTCATAACTACTTGCATTGTGAATCTACTTATCCAAATTGTCACATGTCATTCATGTGTTTCCTCAATTCATTCTTTCTCTTTAATTTGGCGTGATCCTTTAAATGAAAATCCAGTTTGTTAGGATTCCGAAAAATTTTACTACTGCAGTGTATTTTTAGTGCTTAATGGCCGTTTTTAATGTTAACATTATTCTACGATCTTTATTAAATCATAAACTGAATTCATTGTGATAATTTAGAATGATTGTGTCTCTTATTACATAACCTTTTTTGCCAGGTGGCCAGGGTTTACTGCAGCCAGAGGAGATTACCCATTTAGCCACCACAAATTAACTGTTCAGTTTTATGAAGCATCTGCTGCTCAGGATAGAAAGTTAGAAGGATTAGTTCACGAGGCTATTTTAGAGCTATGGAGACCTGACCCCAGTGAATTAACCCTTTTGCTGACAAAAGGTGTTGATTCTACTTTACTAAAGGTTCCTCCAACTGCAATTACTTTGACTGGAAGCAGTGATCCCTGCTATGTTGAAGGTTATCATTTAGCAGATTCAAGTGATGGGAGGATCACTTTGCATTTAAAGGTCAAAGCCTCCGCAATTTATTTCTTTCTTATTCAATTATTTATTGTTCATGTACAACATTTTCAAACATTTAAGAAGGATATTTGCATTTACTATATTGCAATGGTCATAATAATTTATAACATAATGACAATTTATGACAACAGTTCTTCACTTTGATGTGAAGCATAGTAGATTAATTTTTAATTTAAAAGATGTGGGGGAGCATGATATCTATCGTGTTAAAATCCAATGTATGTGGCACATTGATTTCTTTACCGGAAGAATGTGACACATTTAATTTGATGTACTATTGGTTCTATCTGATTAAAATCTAGTTATGTTGTGAAACTTATGTTCCAATGTATTGGAAGGAGTTGCATTAGTGTGTGTGCAGGATTGATCAAAAGGTACAAGAAATATCTGTTGTATTTTGGCATGCAGCAGCTTCCTAAATGTGGATTCATGGTATCTTTGAGGAAATACTGATATTGATTATTAATGCCTTGGATATTTTTCTATAATCCATTTATGAAGAAATTACAATGGAAAGCTAGAATTGCTCAATACTTTCATCTTTAAAGTTTAGTAATATGGACAAAGGATATTATTTGTTCTTGGCATAAAATGTTACCTCCCTATTTTGGTGTTTCTCATAATTTATAAATGAAAAATATTTCAGGTCTTAAACCTAACTGAGCTTGAATTAAATCGGGTGGATGTACGCGTGGGATTATCAGGTGCATTATATTATATGGATGGTTCTTCTCAAGCAGTGCGGCAGTTGCGTAATCTTGTTTCACAGGTTACTTCTCCTCTAAAGTGCATATTCCATTCCAGTATGAGATGACTATTTTGAATTTTCATCTTCAAGACTATGCTTAGGAAAAAGGATTGAGATATTTTTTTTTGATTATATGGTGTACAATCTGCGTTGATATATACAACTATGATTGTATGGACTATGCAATAATCATGGGATAAATATATCAACTAGATTTATTCCTTATTTCTGTATTTATCGTAATCATAGTTGTATATATCAACTAACGAATAAATCAAACTAAATCTGTACAAAGAAATAAAATAAGAAATAAGCATATTAAACATGATACAACACTCTCCCTCTTCCTCAAGCTGGTGAATGGATATCTATCATTCCAAGCTTGTCTGTAAGATCTTGGCGTTGTTTTGTGGGTAATTCGTTTGTTAGGACATCTGCCAACTATTGTCCAAAAGGTGACAACCTTTGCAAGGGCCCCAAGCAGCACCTTCTTGTTTTTTGTTCCTCCTAAAATCTCTAGATAGGATTTCTGTTGAACAAAGACGACTGCTGTTTTCTCTCTCCCTCTAATATCCTAAACACTTTTTTCATGCCAACAAAGTTTTAAGGATGCAATAAAGGTGCCTAATCTTTCTATGATAAGTTAATAGAACACAATTTGAAAGGAAGGATCTTGGAAAGCTAAAGGGTTAGTTCTTCCTCTGCCAACAAAGTTTTAAGGATGCAATAAAGGTGCCTAATCTTTCAATGATAAGTTAATAGAACATCATCTACCAACTCTCCCTCTTACGTATGGCCAGAAAACCCTAGTTCTCATCAATTTGAATTTGGAGTAGTAGCAAAAACACACTAAAATCTTTAGGATTCTCTTTTCCTCCTCTCTTTCTTTCTCTTTTCTTAAACTCTTGATTGCAATTTGCATATCAACCCCTATAAATTCATTTATCCCAAATAATTAAGAGATCAATTACTTCTACTAATTGATACGTAATCTCTATAGGATTTACTTGTCAATTTGCCCAGTGTTGCAACTTGCAAAATCCACATGATAGAGTGAGCACCTTGTTTTCACTTTTTTTGTATAATTTTTTTAAAACAGAAAACAACATTAAACAAGATGACAAATTTGTAATTAAAAGTGAAAACAGAAAACATTTTCAAAGACCAAAGAGCCCTTATTCTTCTTCTCGGTAGTTGTTTTGTTCCCTCTTTTCTATCTCAAAATTGTTCTTATATTGAAAAAAAACCATGCTAGTAGCTCTTTGTACTTTTCCTTTTTTTGGAGGATTTCTTTCTTCTTCTCAAAATTGTAGTTGTAATTAAAACAGAAAACAAGATGACAAATTTGTAATTAAAAGTGAAAACAGAAAACATTTTCAAAGACCAAAGAGCCCTTATTCTTCTTCTTGGTAGTTGTTTTCTTCCCTCTTTTCTATCTCAAAATTGTTCTTATATTGAAAAAAAACCATGCTAATAGCTCTTTGTACTTTTCCTTTTTTTGGAGGATTTCTTTCTTCTTTCTTCTCAAAATTGTAGTTGTTATAATTTAGAAGCTGCCACCATTTACATGCATGGTTATCCAATTGGGAATCAAATCATGAACTCAAAGGCGACATTTCTGATTCATGAATCAAAATGTATTGTGAATAGTAAGATTCATGATCAATAATTAAAAATGTCTTGAAAAGTATTTTAATGGGAATTTAATGTCTAATAACTTATGGTTAACAAATTGAAACGTAAACTTTAAATGGAACTCAATAACAAAAAGTTTCAGTTTAAATTCAGCTGTATAACTCCTGAAAAATACAAAAATAATAACAAACGTAATTTATTTATTATTATAAAAATATAAAGTACCGAAATATCTATTTGAAAAGGATTATATCATAATCATAATTATTTAATTCCTTTTAAATTAAAAACCTTGAACTATCATATTGATTATACTCAATTTTTTGCCCAAGTCCACTAACAAATTACTTGGCTAGTTAAATCGATTCAAACCATCTTGGCTCATTATGTAGTTTGCCCACATTCAAGCATGCATACTGGTTTGACCCAAAAAAATAAAAAACAAAGCAGAAGCATGCATATTTGTGATTGGTGTTTTTCTTTTTTGTTCGTGTAGTGCTTCCTGTTCAGTTTTGGGCCTCATTGTTTTGTTTAAGACTCTGTCTTTTGGGGTTTTGGATGGGATGATGTTTTTGAACCGAGAAAAAGGAAAAGAAAATGACAACTATGCCCTTTGTTTTCAAGCTTCAGCTTCTGCAATGTAACTGTCTCACGAAATTGAGTTCAGTTCCAAGTTTCCAACCTCACGGACAGATTTTGTCACTTTCTCTCCAAGCTCATTAAAATATTTGCCAAAAAGAAACCCCTAAGTGGTGTTCTCCTGAACTGGGTCCTGTGTGACCCAACCCAGTTTTATGTGTGAACCGAGCCTGTAGGAATCAAATGATTCATCGCAGATTCACAATTTAGACGTGATGCAAGCAATTCTAAATGCAATTTGAAGTCAAAATTGATACACCTTGCAACCTGTACTGATGGCTACTGTTTCGATATCGATATCTATCGTTTCACCTCTTTTTGTTATTTCTTCAATTGTTGGCAGCTTTGATGTATATTATTGTCCAATAATTGAAGTTTGGAACTTGTGTTAATTGCTGGATTGTGCTAAATTGTATGCTAATTATTGCTTGTAACTGTTGTACTTGAGAATGTTTGCATCCTCTCTTTACACAGTAGTTCTTAACAGTTCTATTTGCAATAGCTTCTGGATCTGCGTTTCTGATGTTTTTCCTCTCTCAGGATCCAGTGCTGTGCAGTGTGACAGTTGGCGTTTCACACTTTGAAAGATGTGCCCTTTGGGTTCAAGTGTTGTACTACCCATTCTATGGTAGTGGTGCTGTTGGAGACTATGAAGGTGACTATGCAGAAGAGGATCCTCAAATCATGAGACAGAAGAGAAGCCTAAGGCCTGAATTAGGTGAACCTGTGATTTTGAGATGTCAACCTTATAAAATTCCATTGGCTGAGCTTCTCTTGCCGCACCAAATATCACCTGTAGAGTTTTTCCGACTGTGGCCCAGTTTGCCAGCTATTGTAGAATATACTGGTACATATACTTACGAAGGAAGTGGTTTTAAGGCTACTGCAGCTCAACAGTATGGTGCATCTCCTTTCTTAAGTGGACTGAAATCCTTGTCTTCCAAGCCATTCCATAAAGTTTGTTCACATATTATCCGAACAGTGGCAGGGTTTGAGGTGTGGATTTGTTATTTTGTTATTTTTGAAATAGTTAAAGGATGTCTTGTTAGGTTCCTTTCCTGGAATCACCTAGTTTTCTTAGTGATATTGGTACTCAATTTCTGTGTCTTGTATGCTTTTTCTTGCATGTTTCTACTTTGATGGAAACAGTAAATATGTAACTAAACCAAGAGAAACTTGCCCAACATACAGTAGGATAAAAAGGCAAAGGCTATAATGGGGATTATATGTGCATTGAGTTAGACATTACACCGTTTGAATTTACTAACTCTTCCCTTTTTCTTCTTCTCTTTGATGGAATAGATGTGTTATGCTGCTAAAACTTGGCATGGTGGCTTCTTGGGCATGATGATTTTTGGTGCCAGTGAAGTGAGTAGAAATGTGGACTTGGGTGATGAGACAACGACCATGCTGTGCAAGTTTGTGGTACGAGCATCTGATGCATCTATAACTAAGGAGATCGGATCAGATCTCCAGGGTTGGTTGGATGACCTTACTGATGGCGGGGTGGAGTATATGCCTGAAGATGAAGTGAAAGTAGCTGCTGCCGAGAGGCTTCGGATATCCATGGAAAGGATAGCCTTGTTAAAGGCAGCCGAACCACGACCCAAGACCCCAAAATCTGACGATGAAGATGAAGAGGATGATAAAGACGACAATAAAGAAAAGAAAGATGGTGATGAAGATGAGAAAAAGGGGCCTTCAACACTATCGAAGTTAACTGCTGAAGAGGCTGAACATCAAGCACTTCAAGCAGCAGTGCTACAGGAGTGGCATATGCTCTGCAAGGATAGAAGTACCGAAGTTAATTAACTATTTTCCTTTCTGTTTTGGGTTGCTATTTTTACTTCTGGGTTTTTCGAGAAATGTATGAGTATATTCTTTGTACTCTTTATTTTACATATACCAGTTAGGTAGAAACTAAAATTTGCCCGAGAAACGATTGAGTGTATTCTTTTTACAAAGAAAGCCTGTACTATTTAAATGAAGTCTAGCCTTTATCTAAACCAAAAATATATATATATATATATATATATATATATATATATTAATGTGTAGTTTCATTTTACATTTAGTCATTTTATAGGTAAGTTAAAATTAGTGATGGTACAATTTAATTCTATTAAAATAGAATAAAATTAGGTAAAACAAAATAAATTTATTTTTTAATTATTTTTAAAAAAAATGCATTATATGTTTTTTTCTTCTTTTATATTAGTTTGTATTTTAAATTAAAATTTTTACTTGTTTATCCCAAATCAATGTCAACTTTAAGGTCAACTTAAAGCTTGTAAGTGAAGTTTTCACACAATGAAGGATTTAACTTCTTTAAAACTTTTAACTCAATTGTTAAATCTATAATAGGAAGAGTTAATTAAAAACTCCACATAATTTTTCTTGTTGGTGGATTTATATATGTTAAAGTATAATGTTTCTCTTTTTATAAAAATAAATGAATCTACTATTATTCTTACACTAGTTTATACAAATGTAATAATTATAATAAACAATTGGTCTTAAAAATTTGATAATTTTATTCATATACTCAATCTTGTCTTTCTTATTAGAGATATAAGTAGTTTAAATTACTTAACATTCATGTAACTTTGATCGTGATAAGATGAATACATCTATCAAAACAAAATATAGTCATGATTCATAAAATCGACCAATATAACTAAGCCAATAAAAATAACAATAGAAAAACTCAAAAGTTTAAGATTAAATTGAAACTAAAAATATTTTAGTCTCCACAAATGTGTTGTAAGAGCTCTATAATATGCTATAATGACTCGACTAAACGTTGTGTACTCAATAAGTAAAGCCTACTAGTTAATGCATGTCACAAAAGCAACCCACTAACAATATATTAAGAGGATACTACGATTTTCCAAAATAAGCATAACTTATGGAATAAACTTTTTCATGTCTCTTAATCTAAGCCTTGTAGCATTTTATGATGCTAATTGAGATTCTAATATTAATGATATTTGTACATCATTAGTTAAAATATCTTTTTAGTATAGCTAGATATAAAAGTTGGTTAATCCCTTATAAGGTCACAATTAAAGTGGTCAAATCATATACACTTGCATTTAAACGAACTTACATTTAATAAGAAGTTGCATAAGCTTATGGTTATACGGGTTGCCAGTTGGGTCAAACCATTTTTCTTTTACTAATTTTCACTTATTAAGAGATTGTATAATGCACATGTATTTTATTTGAAAATAAATATATATTTTAATAATTAAAGAATAAAATTTGATAACATTTTAAATAATTATATATAAAAAAAAATTTAAAAATTAAGTAACAATTTATCTCCATAATTTAGAATAGAATTAAGAAAAAAAAAGTATATGAAAGTTAAATTAGTTGTACCAAAAAGAGTATAATTCACTTAATATTTTTAACAATTTTTAAAAAAAATTATTTTAACTTTATAATTTATCTCTAAAATTTAAAATGAAAAAGAGTAATTATGTTCAATGCTTCACTTTCTAAATAATATTAGACCTGAATGCATTATCCATCAAGCTTGTAAACGTACAAGTTTTTGTAGTGCAATCTGTTGACCTTTACTTTTTAGGATCAAATTTTATTTTTTAGACATTATAGTAATAAAATGTTGTGTTGAGGTTTAATATTAAGCTAGAAATATATAGGAGCTTGACAAATGTAGTTGTAGAATTAGCCTTATAAAATTATTCATGATTTCTTATATCAAATCCTATTCTTTATTATAAAGCAGAATATTTAAATTAGACTTGTATTTTATTTGAAACATGAATTTAATAATAAAAAATAAGATAAGAGAATTAATTTTATTTTTAAAAAATTAAAATATAATTTTTAGTTTATGTTTAAAATAAGATAAAATAATATTTCTATTGAAAAATAATTGATTTATAAATAATTTAAGAATTAATTATGTTTTTATCCTTAACACACTTTCAAATAAGTTTTTAAAAATTTTTACAATTTTATTTTAAAATGTAAAAATTTAATATAATTAACTAGATAATAAAAATTTAATTCATTATTGTCATATTTTAAAATAAGATAAAATAATATTTCTATTGAAAACAATTGGTTTATAAATAATTTAGGAATTAATTATGTTTTTATCCTTAACAGACTTTGAAATAAGCTTTTAAAAAAATTTTAAAATTTTATTTTAAAATGGAAAAAATTAATATAATGAACTAGATAATGAAAATTTAACTCATTATTGTCATATTATTATTATTATTATTATTATGATGTAAAAATTAATATCTCAAAAAATGTCCTAGAAGTCTCTCTCCTAGGCCTTCCGGTCACAACTAGGAGTATAATCAATGATAACAACAAAGGAAAAGTTCTCTTTGAGATTGTCTTGCGAGATGGACATATTTTGTGGTACATATATCCTTTGTCTCATAAGTTCCTATTACTTTTCTCGGTTAGCAATCTATTTCAATTTTTAGTTCCTATTTTTTGAAAACATAACATGATCCATATCATCCTATGATGGACAGAGCCCTATTATTTGACCCTTTTAATGAAAACTAAATATGGAAAAGAGATGAAAAATCATTTTCTATGTTTTTAGTGTCTAAAGACATGTTTTTTCGCGTTTACTGCATGCTGAAAATGTGGGATTTTCAAAATCAAGTTCATGGGTTATAAACGGGTCAAACTTACTTGGTTGAAGGTTGAAGACGATTAAAATGCAAGGTATTTTATCGTTTTGTGTGTTTTCTGTTGCTGAAAAATATGTGAATATATAGTTCTGGATGTCAAATGATAATATTATATTAAGTAGTGCATAGTGGTTAGTGGTGCCTTTGCCTTTGATAAGGTCACGAGTTTAAACCCTACCTCCTACACTTAACCAAACTCTTATATCTGACAGATATGTAATTCTAAAAACTATATATCCTCTCTACTTAGTTCATGCAAATTTTTATGTCTGGTTTATTTGATATTAATGCTAACATTTGGCCTTTTGGGGAAAAATTAATGTTTGATGATGAATATAATTTTAATAAATTAGAGTGTAGCTACAACACCTTTAATTGATTAAAATAATATATATAGTTTTTTTAAGTCATATTGAAAAACATTAATTGTAATTGATTGTATGTGATGTGATGAGATCTACCTATAAGAATTTTATTACATTTATATGATTAATTAGGATGAAATATTGGATTATATTTCTTAATCTATCCACAAGAATTAAGAAAGAGAACATAATTCGATAGTTTTGTCATAAAGATAATATAATGAGTCTGATTGAATAGGATTTCAGTCCACAAGCAAGTCTTATATCACTAGATTCATAAATTAAAGCATGTTTGCATTGGTGAAACATGACATTTATTTTATCCTCAAATTATGATGATAATCATGTGCTATTTTTAAACTTTATATTTTCTCAATTTGTGAGTATTTTTTATATTAAATGTGGTATTCCTGAGTTAAAGAGTAACAACTATAAGATCTGGAAGGAGAGTGTTTTTCTTTATTTGGATTAGATGGATATTGATTATGCTATTAGGAAGGATGAACCACCAACCATTATTGCGACCAACATTTCAGATGTAGTTGATCTTTATGAAAATGAGATAGGTCTAATCATCTTTTCGTGACTTTCATAAAGACCAATATTTCTGCTGGTATTTATGGTTCTATTAATCAGCATGATAAAGTCAAGAATTTATTGAAAGCCATTGATGAGAAATTTGCTACTTCTGATAAATTTCTTGCCAGCACCCTTATATTGCAATTTTCATCCATGAAACTCACTGGAATTAGAGAAGTACGTGATCACATCATGTACATAAGAGATATAGTGGCTCAGCTGAAAGCCTTGGAAGTTACCATGTCTAATTCTTTCTTGGTGCACTATATTTTATGCACCTTATCTCATCAATATGCCCCCTTAAGATCTCTTATAACACATATGAAGATAAGTAGTCTATTAATGAATTGTTGACCATATGTGCTCAAGATGAGGAAAGGTTACTGATGGAAGAAGGGAAGAGGGTGAACTTAACTACTTCTGCATAACGAGTAAAAAGAATCAAGTTAATCACAAGAAAAAAATTCTTATTCAGTCAGACATAAAAAAGGAGTCAAAGTGTTTATTTTGTAAAAAGAAAGGATACATAAAAAAAGACTGCTTGAAATTCAAGACTTGACTGGACAAGAAAGGTAATCAATTTGCTTATGTTTGTTATGAATCTAATATGGTTAGTATTAATCATAGCAAATGATGGATTGATTCTGGTTCTATAATCCATGTTTATAATACCTTGCAAGTTATGCAAAACCTAAGGAGGCCAATGGGAAGTGAGCAATGTATCTACTTAAGGAGTAGGATAAGTTTACATGTGAAAGTTGTTAGGACATGCAATTTAACTTTAAGTAATGGTTTTATTTTGAATTTAGAAAAGACATTTTATGTTTCTAGTTTTTCTAAGAATTTGATTTTAATTTCAAGACTTTGCCTTTGAGTTTTTTCTTTAAATTTTCAGACTCTAATTTTACTTTATTAAATAAATCTGAAGTTGTTGGTTTTAGTGAACTATGTGATAGTCTTTATTCCATTACTTTGCGAAATAACACCGCTTATAATTCTATGCACGTTACTACTAGGTTAAAATTATGTGTTGTGAATAAGAAATCCTCTATATTGTGACATTAGAGATTGGGATACATCTCCAGTGAGAGAATTAAGTAATTAGTAAATGAAGGAGTACTTAGTACTTTAAACTTTATTGATTTCGAGACTTGTGTGGATTATATTAAGGGTAAGTAAACTAACAAATCTAAAAATGATGGCAAAAGGTGTTCAAATTTGTTAGAGATAATTCATACAGATATTTGTTGTCCAAATATGGATGCGAGTAGTTCGAGATATTTTATCACCTTTATATATGATTACTCATGATATATATATATATATATATATATATATATATATATATATATATCTACTTGCTTCTTTCT